GAATAGTTTTACTGTGCTGGCTCCAGTTTATGTGTGCGTTTGTGTGTTTGTGTGTGAGACAAAGAGATCAGGGTTGGAGATAGACTAGTGAGTCTGTGAGCATAAGCTTAACCTTGTGTGAACCAACTGACTCCTACTTTTTATTGTGTGGTGAAGATTAAATTTCATGGTTTATTTTCCGCTCCGCAGTAGACCACAAGCACTCATATACACATTGCCCTGTCAGCTAAAACACCACCTGTTTTCACCTGTTAAACTATAATTGGGAAGCTGGACCAAAGAGAACAACAGAAGAGAACAATTAGGAAGAGGAGACAAATGAAAGAGGGATGGAATGAAACAAAGCGGCCAAAAAACAAGGAATGCCGAGAAGAACGCTTGAAAGGAAGAAGAAGAGAAAAGGAACAAAGATCAGCAAGAAAGAGAGTAGAGGAAAACACATGTAGGAAGACTAGTGGAATCGGCTCTGTATCACACAGGTATAGCTCAAGGACACAATTACCGTGTGCAGACACTGAGCCCTGACCCAAACTTTAGCAGAGGGAAAGCGCTCTGAACGACCAGCATTACCTGCACAGTCACATAGCACATCGAGTTAATGGCTTTCACCTTGTGTAGACTAACGCAGCGGGACATTTCAACATGAGTTTTACAATAGATTCATCATCCGTAGTGTTTGTTATGCATACTGACAATGAAGCAGGAGTGGTACAATATACCAACATGGACAGAATACTGATTTGATGTTAATGACGCACATTTGATACGAATGAAACTAGTCAAGTTATTTGTACACGCGTGTATTATAGTTATATGCACTGCTCAAAAAAATAAATATAGGACAACTTTATTTAAAAACACATCAGATATCAAGCGGTAAAAAAATCTTGCTGGATATCTGTACTGATATGGACTGAGTAATGTGTTTGAAACAAAAGGAAGCTACATTATATGATGGGGATGAAAATTAGCTACTTGCAGAGCGCTGAATTAGAAGGAAGCCAGAAAATCAAAGTGAAAAAAGAAGGAAACATAGACCCAAACATAGAGTCACTAAACATAGATTCACAGAGGTGTTCTGTTAGATTTAGGTCAGGTGAGCATGCAGGCCAGTGAGTGAGAAACCGCCTGCATACTCGCCACATAAGGCCGGGCATTACACCTGGGGGAAACCAGTACCCACTGCACCACCATAGGGTGTGATAATGAGTCCAAGAATTTAAGCCCAATACCCAATAGCAGTCAGGGTGCTGTTGCCTAGCCTGTAGAGGTCTGTTGTATTCCTCCATGGATACGCCTCCGCAAACCATCACCAACCCACCACCCAAACAGTCAGGCTGAACAATGTTACAGAGCCTGTCACTTCTGGTATTCTATTGCAAATGCCACGAAGGGCTGGGCAGTGAGGGCAGGCAGTTCCTGGAGGATGAAGAAATTGATACCACTCACTTGCACTCATGCTTGCCTGAGCTAAATCCAATAGAACACCTCTGGGACATCATCTTTCAATCCATCCAAACCCCAAGGTTGCACCTAACAGTCCAGGAGTTCAGTGATGCCCTGGTCCAGACCTGGGAGAAGATACTCCGAGACACCATCCATCTTACTAGACGTTGCCAGTCATGCTTAGAAGCACATACACACTACTGAGTACCATTTTGAGTTGCTGCAAGGAAATTCCCTCAGAATAGACTAGCATCACTTTTTCACTTTGATTTTCAGGTTGCCTTTGAATTAGGCCCTCTGTAGGTTCATCATTTAAATTTTTTATCAAAATGATTTGGCATCCTTTTATTCCTAAAACATTATCCAGGCCATAAAGCATGATTTTTCTCTTTTTCATCTGTGTTAAATTTTTGAGCAGTGTACTAACATACATTATAATGAAATTGCCCTGCTAATAAATGGAGCTAAACAAAGGGAATTGCAGTAACTATCACCACTATAATCCTGCCATTGTGCTGTTCTAACCTGTCTTAGTGTTTCCTCCTTTATAGCTGATTCTCTGAATAGCCTCCAGCAGTGCTTCTTTGTTGCTATGAGAACTCAGCTGGAATTCGGTCCGAGCATCGTCACTGAACTGAGCAACGGCCACCTGGAGAGAGACAGAGACACATGTCAAATAAAATTATGCAAATTTAAAGTGCCGTTTGCCTGAGCCAGTTTGGGTTTAAACTCCGTATAAAGGGAGAATTTAGAAAATAGTAAAATTCTGTCATCATCTGTTCACAGTCATGTCAGTCGCGATACTGCCACAAAGGGTTTTCAGGGTAGTTTCAGCCTCGCCCCATAGTACAAAAAACCTAAATTACACACAAAAAAGCTTATCTGGCATTATTCAAGTGTTATGGAGCCAAATGATTGCGATCTTGGTCAAACAACCTAATATCCACGTCATTATCACCAACACTTTCTGAATTTTTTCTGGACATTAACAACAGTATCAAACAGATATTGCTATTGTTCACTGACGGTAATTGTGTAATTACATAAATTGGGGTGTGACAAAATAGCCCCACAAAGCGAATGTAGTGCAGATGGGTTTGTCTGTACATGATGCACAAGAGGCCTGAATATACAATTCACTGTTTAAGGTTATAACTTTATAGACGAGGCACAGTTATCACCTTTTTTTCATCTGGTCCTTCCTGGTGTATTTAATATTTTTCACATTAAGAAACACTCATGATGCAAAAAGGGAATAATGCAACTTTTTCTACAAGCATAGGCCAGTGAGTGGGATAGGAAAACATACATCCACATTCCCAAACTGGTACTGTAATCAGTCTAATATCCATACTCTAAGAGCGTCGGACAACTGTCATTACCTCCAGACTGCTAATGGTGCTGTTGTTGGCTTTGGTCAGCCTACATTACCCAGCCAACTCCCTCTTTATCGTGCAGCCAACTTTCTCACATTACAGCCAGCGCTCTGATGCTGGTAGCCTACTGCCAGAAGGTTATGGGGCACAGCGAGGCTAGCGAACTCCTTAACAGCAGAGATTACACAAATGAAACAAAAGGGTTTAGCAAGCACCTCTACAGCGTGATAAATGAACCAGCTGAGGTTTGCTGACATAGTGGGGGCCATGCAGGACAGAAGCGCAAATAAATGAGTTCACAGTGACAACAGGGAGCAACAGCCCCGAGTTAGAGCTTAGCATTACTATTGATGGACCTGATAAATGGGAGACAGTCTGAGGGAGTGAAGGTGGTAATGTCCCCCGTGGTAACATGAGTCAAACTTTTGCTCTGTTAGAATCCCGTTGACAGAGAACCACTCACTCTTTATACCAGCTTTAATGCATCTGCACTCAACTTATTAAAATCACCATTTCTGCAGGAAAAGTATTGTTTTCTGGAACGGTGGCTGCAAATGAGTGGAGTTAACTCAATACCGCTCAGCAACAAGAAGTTATTCCAGAAAGTAAAAATTGACTCATGGGGAGTTTAAAGTTTCTTCTCACTTTCCCAAACTTTTCAACAGATGTAAAGCTTTGGTCCTGCTGATTTATCAGGGAGCTCCTGAGCATCCTTCTAATATCAATGAAGGCCAGTGTCAGCATCCTTCTTCCCTAAACAATAAATGATCAGAAGGATGTGGACTAAACTGAAATGATCTAAGATACTTTATATGGGTAAAATCTCTGTTCTAATCAAATTTCAGTGGCTAACTTTGAAACAAAGAAAACAGTAGGTTACAGAAACTAAGTGGCTTTTCGATAAGTCCCCTCCATCCTCTCATCATCAGCATCCAAGCTCCTTTATTTTACTCTCCGCTGAATGTTAGTCTAGCTTCAGCAGATCCTAAAGCAAAAATTAAAAAGAGCTTTTCTTTCTCTTTTTGGTAACTGGCTATTGGTGAAATTGGCTGCAGTTCATAACGGCTGGAGCAAAGAGGATGAGGTAATTTGCTAGAGCGGCAGGGGGTTGTAATCTATCTTTTTGCAGGGATTAACACCCGCATACACATAATTCTCTCGTCTGTGAACGAGTTCCTAACCCTCAGATTATACTCAGATATGCAATTAAGTTATTCCCTCATTATTATGGTTTTGAGTGCGGCTGCATTTGGCTGGAGCCCCACTGTCTGCTATACATCATATTTCCCATGAGGGAAAATTCTTAAACAAAGAAAATAAATTGCAAAGAGACTGAAAGGAAATGAAAAGCCTTAGGGACAGTTTGGATTTCTGTTGGTTAAACTGTGTAAACTGGCCAAACGGTAATTTTCACTAGACACAGGAATTTAGACTAGACACAACAACCACTAACAATCCTAAATGTGAATCCAAGCCCTGCAAAGAGTCTCACTTCACTGTTAGTCAGAGCGAGGCGGTCAAGACAGCACGACGTTTTAATCCATAAATCTTCCTTTCCCAAGTGATGACAGATTTTTGGGGAAAACAGGTATGAATGAGTAAAACGAGATAAGTTCACTAAGAATGCTGTCATGTGACTGACCTGGGTGCCATCTTGTCCAATCAGATCCAGCGATCCCATGGTGCTGTAGAGGAAACGTGTAATCTTCATGAAGTTGTCGTCTCCGATGGACCAGGAGCCGTCGACCAGGAACGCCAGGTCAGCCTTGGCCTCCTTACATACTTCAGACAGATAAGGGAGGGGTTTAGATTAAGTCAGCACAACGGTTTGTGTCTACACAAAAAAATAATTTCCCACAGAGTGAATGTCAGCAGAGGACAAAGCATAAGTGGAATATTAACTGGCTGCCTAATATATTCAGACTCACAGTAAATATGCAAAGTATGAAGCTCTGCAAATATACATCTGCTGGAAAAGGGTAAATATGCAAAGACTAGGTCTTTGGAGCAATCTGCCAACTGTGGAGTTCATGAGATTAAAGGTATGGCGCTCACACATTTTTAAACTTTTCTGAACACAAAATCATCTCTATCCTGTGAGGTTGTGCCGCTCTTATATATCCACGGCCCTGCAGCGACGTTTCCCTCTTTTATTTGTCTCAGGTTTCTTGATGACTCCCAGCAGCCTTTTCATCACTGCTGTAAAGTTGTTTTGTGGTTTTAACAAGTCTGCAACCTCCAAGTCTTTGCTAAATTTCTAACCTTGTTTATGACCATGTCAGTATCCATAAATTCAAATGCAACAAAGGAGAGGAGACAACTTCAATGTTAGAGAGGATTGTTTGTGTTTCCTGTCTGTGTTGCCATCTGTCTTGAACATTTGACCATTTTCAGTAAATTTTCTTTCCATCTCTTCATGCTGCATAACTTTGTTTCTTTGTCTTCTCCCTCCTACGTAGAACAAAAACACGGTCCTTGTGTTCTGTTTCTCCCATCTTTGCAGTTCTGTCCCGAATAAAGGTTGCCTGTCATTACAGATGGAGGCACTGGTCTGACAAAGGTCAGAAACTTAGACAGAAGCGCTTCCAGGCGGGCTCAGCAGGTGTGTCTTTCACTTTTGTGGACCTCGTGTTGCGGTGCGACCTTTTACCTGAGCTCATCAGACAGGAACAGAGGAGGACGAAGCCTGTCTGGGTAGTAGGTGAAAGAGTGGTGGACTCAAACCCCTTCGTTACTTGAGCTTTCGATTTAAAAAAAACATTTGAAAAACATTTTTGCTTGTCCTAACTCATGAGTCATTCACAACCCTGTTTGGAAAAGAAAGAAAGAAGCTGTGTGCTAATAAAGACTGAATTGCAAATCATGTTTATTAACTTGAAAGCATCAAAAAGAGAAAACAAAAAGTTGAACTTGATTAATTTCTTCAGATTAACATTGAAATTCTAGTTTTGGAGCAACACATGCTGCTCTCCAGATGACTTTTTTGAGCTTGGTCAAGTGTGCTAAATCGGCATGTATTACAACAGCATGGCTCTTTAATAAAACAGCCCAAAGCTAAACTGGCCAGCTGTAAAGACCTGTCACCTAATAAAAGAGCGTACAAAATCCTATATTAAGTATGGCTTTATAAGCATTTTGCATAAAAACAGAGGAATTAGACTCCTTGCTCTCCAAAGGCTCGAGTGTTATTAAAAAGTTAGCGACATCATATTCATTATTGGCTTTTTTAAAATTGTTCAAATGCCTTAATTTGACATGCTCTCTTTTTTAATGTATTAAAATAGATATAGTGCTTGGATTGGATGCGTTTTATTACGTAGATTGTTGTTTGAATTTATCAAAAACAGCTGAGGCTCATTTTCTAAATTTTACTTAGTGATTGATCCAGTGAAGAGAAACTTCACAGGTATCATAACTTGCTGGTCAGCGGTGAGTCAGGTGTACCCTGCATGAGTTGAGGAGAAATAAAGGTGAGTAAGAGTTATCAGATTAGCCTAGCTGAGCCTGTGGTAATATGATAAGAGGTTACTTTTCTTCATTTAGGTGTTAGCTGCAGCAGAATCAGTATATTTCACATAATTAAGTCACTGTGGAATAAAAATGTCTGAGATTTTCCTTTAGCACACCCTAAATTTACAAGCCAACTCTCCAATTTTCCTTATGATTTACTGTGTATGTTCAGTTTCAGTACCACAGCAGAGCGGTATAGCACGTTGGGGACTGTGCCTTCTTCTTTCGTGCCTCCGTCTCCCTAGCATCCTCCTCTGTCACACCATCTGCACGCCCTCAATCACTACTTTCTCTTTGGTATTTCCCTTTTTCTCTCCTCTGGCAGCTCAATCTTTGGCATCATTTTCCCAATATATCCACTAATCACACTCTTCTGTCTCACATTAATTTTCCCAAGTTGCTTCAGTCGCATTTTTCCTGCACACACAGGGAAAATAAGTTCAGATAAGAAGTTTAGCAATTACGTGCGTCAGTTTTACTGAATGCACATGTTTTTGTATGTAAACAAACTATTGAGAAGGAATGTATTGGCCATTTTTGTTTTTCAAAGTACACAATGAATACACCAGGTGGGAATAAGGAACAGAAATAAGATGGATGTCATATTTCCTCTAAAAAGACATAAAAAAAAAATAATATGTCAACTGCAAGGATTATCCACCACATTGAACATAAGAGTATTAAAAGCTTCAGCTCACCCTCTTTGGCTGGTGGGATTGTGGGTGGGGGCTCCGTAGTGGGTGGTTCAGTCGGCGGCTGAGTGGGTGCTGGAACTGGAAGCACGCACAAACACACACAGAGACACGGAGACAGAAGGCAAGGTCATCAATCATGACGACAGTGACAAGTGGCACCATCAATGGGGTCTACATGCAGACCGCAAACACACACTTGTGCATGAGCACACAAACACAGCTGGCACACTGAGACATAGCAGTGGTCTGTTTCTATTAACCTTTCCTCCAGCGATTGAGCTCTGGACCTTTACAGAAAAAAAGATTTCTAATGCAATCTGTAGATACTGTACATAAGCAAAACAGCTTCTGTGTTTTATTGAGTTTGTCTTTTGCTCCATTTTGGAATTATTTCAGATTTGAACTTCCTAAATTGCTTCTATACATCCTAAATTGGGGACAGTACAAGTGATTTTTTTTTTTAATCAGTCTAGCATCTATTGTCTGTAAGACTCAAAAACAGTTTTGCCTCGGTGTCAGATTAATTATATTGGAGAAAGTTCTGTCAAACCAGAGAGCAGTAAAGTGAATCATCTCGGAGAGATTTGCTACTGCGCATAGAAGCGACACACACTTTGTAAAACCGGATGAGATTATCTCAACAAATGTTTCTTCGGCTTCCACACCACACCGCTGCGGTGACAAAACAAAGATATGTAGCCTGCTTGAGAATATCTGCTTGATTGACGCAGCTGTCAATGAATGATAAACAGTGAGGAGTTCAGGTGAAATTGGTGCCTTCGTTACCCGACGCCGTTTCCTGCTTTTATTGTGTCTTTTCACCCTTTGAGCTTTATCGGTTGTTTACAGACTTACACAGATGATATGGAAAGGTGGCTGTTGGCTGTGTGTAAAAGCAACAAGTACAATTTCAAGTACTGAACTTAATATAATTATGACAATTTGTAGTCGATGCTTCTCTTTGCTGTGGCTGACAGCTAAAGGTTTTGATACACAGACACACTCGTATTAATTACATTTACAGTGAATACATCAGTGAAATTTCACTTGTCTATAGACCTTCAACTATTTCCAAAACCAAACAGATTAAGTGCTACATAGCAATGTGAATATGAGAACATATCTATTAGGGGTGCAACGATACACAAAATTCACGGTTCGGTTCGGTTCAATACTTTAGTGTCACGGTTCGATATTTTTT